CAGGGCCGTGGACACACAGGGGGCAGAGGAGAGACATTGTTAGTGGACAAGAAATATGCAGTGGCAAGTGGCGAGTGCCGCATGGATGTCAAGTTGTCATGCACAATTCAGCTATTACTTACGGTCCAGTTAGTCCTGCCATTGCTCGCTCGTCCTGGTTCCTCCTCGTTCGTCTTCCTGCACGTCTGCACTTCTCCTTCCCCACCGTTGGCTTTGCGGTACGGGGGTGCCGGAAGGAATTCCCACCATGTATCCATGTACATGAAGTCCCACCATGACTCTCCATGTACATGTCCACGGCCACGTCAGCAGTTTGTACAGTACCGGAAGGAGTTCCCACGATGCCTCCAAAGGCCTAGAGCGGACGTCTTTGCAGCAATTCTTTTCGCCCTGCGCATTCAGTTCGCCGACGATGTCTCCAAAGGCAAAGGCCTAGAGCCTAGTAGAGGGGACGTCTTTGCAGCAATTCTTTTCACCCTAGTACCCTGCACATTCACCCCGCCGACACGACGTACGACAGCGTTTACGGGGCCGTTCCAGGTGCAAAAGGTCCACGTCAGCAGTTCTCAACTATTTCGCGTACGGGATAGTCGCCGCGACAGCGTTTAAGGGGTCGTTCCAGGTGCAAAAGGTATCCATCAATGGCACTTTGCAGTATGGGGTACGGAAAAGGGGCCTCCTCGTTCGACTTCGTCGACTTCTGCAGTTCTCCTTCCCGTCAGGGGTACCGAAAGGGGCCTCCTCGCAGTTGTCCTTGCCGTCAGGTCCACGTCATGCAGTTCTCAACTATTTCGCGTACGGGATAGTCGTCTTTGTCGTACGCGACATCGGCGTTTACCGAGTGGCATTGGCACAAAGCAGACCGTTGACGGGGTCACGTGTCAAAAAAGTATCAACAAAGTGTCGACTACGTGTCGACCACGTGTATAGCGGTACACTCAGCGGTACACTAATTCTCGTGCCATTCTCGTGTCACAAAACTGGAACATCGAGTACCAGTATGGAAAGGCTTCAGACAGGAAGCCTTTCCAATGGAAAGGCTTCAGACAGGAAGCCTTTCCAATAATGTGGCTTAGAGGTCGATTGGGCTGTTGCAAGCCTGGTTTGTAGAGACTGGACCCCTCTCTCCGGATTTAGTGCCGGGATCCACACAAAAGGATCAAGAGGATTTAGGCAGTACTGACATCCAAGAACGAGCAAGGAAACACAACTGATAGCAAAAACAAAAACAAGAAGACTCAAACAATTCCCTAGCATATATTAGAACTGGGGCTAGCCCCCATTATAGTTCAAATGGTCGCAAGACCAGGGCTATGCCAACCGTGGAGGTTGTAGTAAGGTCATAAGGAGCACTGTTTTCGAACACAGTCTCAGTGCATCCTCCGCCTACACGTAGCTTGTAACATGCTGGCAACCAAACTACATTGTATGTTTTGTCATGTACATGTACATGTACATGACTACACGTATTTTTTTTCACATCCAAAGAATCATCTTGCCCGTAAAAGAGGCCAGTACTGTAAGGTGTACATGTACATTGTACAATGTACTGAACTGAAGTACATGTCCAGGACACTGTTGTGGTATTCATTATTGTTATTGTTGTTGTTACTGGTGTGCCATTTAAATTACATGTATACATATACTTCATGCACATGTATAGTCGTTCAACCAAACACACCAAGTTCCCTTCTCATATCACACGGAGATGCCAGGACTTGGAAGACGAGAGAGATCGGAGTATGCAAACTGCTCCATGGCAGGGCAGCCTGCGGAAACCTCACTATTGTCACTAAGAACTCCACAACCTGCCGATCAACAATTTTCTCCAGCACGTTGACAATTGGCAAGAGATATGGCTCGTAGGAGTTGAGAGTAGTCAGTATTATTATGGCCATAACTGTCTCCACATTTACATGATTGTATACAGGTGAAACCATCCAGGGTGTTCGATGTACATAGAATAATCTGTGGCATCAGGTACTGTACTGTATTTGCATCACTTGTAGCCGAGTTGGATGGTGAACAACTGCTGCACACGTACATATACATGTATCTGTGAGTGCTGGAAATGATGCCACATGTACCGGTACAGGTACTAGCAAGAGTTATAATCCCCCGGTTATACACTCTTGGTACTAGGTGTAGAATTCATAGTGGCTCGGCTAGATAGCAGGAGAGGTCACTGCCCCATGGGCCATGGGGTCAGTCCTGGACTGTTTTGAAACTGTTGCTTGATCAGAGGGATGTGACCAGACCTTCCTGTGTAAATGCTTGCTGTGACTGTGAGTTGCTGAAGGATGACACATGAGCACGGAATATGTGGCGGAGTTTGTTGCATGTTGCGGTTAGGGCAGTTGTTTGTCTATTAGCCATCTCGTTGATCAAAATTGTCCTTCCAGGTCTTGGCGTAGGCCCCCGCCCCGGTCTACATGTACATGTACATGACTGTATTTCATGGGCAATGTGCTTCCTAAACTCATGTACATGTACATGTCGATTGGACAGCCTGCATGACCATGATGACATTGTTCCACAAAAAGAAAATGTGAATTGGGTGGAAAGTACTAGTAGTGGATCATGGTGACCAATCCTGTCAACATAGTACACCGCTGTATGATGTACATGTACATTGTATTATGTGAAGGAAGTGAGGAAACAAGTGCCAGGTCAATGCAATCCCGGTAGTGTTAGAGGGGAGAGGAGCCCAGTCTCTACAAACCAGGCATGAACAAGCCCAATAGACCTCTGAGCCACAATATTATAACTATTCTCTGCTTTCCACCTGCCTACAGGGGAGAAAATGCACTGATTTTGGCTTAGAAGTGGCTAATTGCATACACGTTACCACGGTAACCGTAGAAATTCGAAAAATTCCTGTGACAAGGAAGCCGACAGTCCTATAAACTTCTGGTTTTCAATAATAGTCTTGGAAAGAGCTCGCCTTCCAACAAGGTAACTTTTTTCTCCAAAATTGTACCGGCTTTGCCTCAGGAACGGCTAATTGCACACAAGTTACCATAGTAACCTAAGCAATTTGGAAATAGCTCATAACTTCCAAACGGCCAACATTGGGAACTTCTAGTTTTCTCCAAAATTCCTATAGTTGGTCCGCCTCTCCGAATTTGAAGTCAAATCTTTCCTGGACGAGGTGTCAAATGACACTGTCAGATTTCTGGACCTGGCTCCAGGACGGGCACAACACACAGGACGGCGTGACTGGATAAACTGGACTCCTGGACCGTGAATAGGGGACTTGTAGAAAAAGTGTACTCCTTATAGGGGATTGCGCGGCAGGATGAAGCTGATCAAAACTGAGTGGACTCCTAGATCCTGGACTCTGTATAGTGGATTTTGGACCAATGGACTCTTTTATAGGGTGCTGGACATCATAATAGTGCATGGACTCTATACTGAGTCCTACATGTACAGTATCAAGGGAAGTCACCCATGAACGAGGACTGGACAAAGAAGCTAGGTACATGTCTGACTGAGCAGAAAGTTGTGTGAACATCAGGGAGACGACACTGGAGACAGTGGCTCCCAAACTGAATGCATGTGCATTTCGATCCCGGATGTGGACGTTCTATGTGAATTATGATCTGTGAAACTCATAATGCGATTTCAACCATATATATATTCTTTTATTCCACGATGGCGTGACGCCAATAAGGATGATTAATAAGTGCGATAGAACTGGTACTAGCCAGAAACAGCTAGATGGAAATTAACCGGGAGGCAAGAAGCAATGGATCATGAAAAACAAGCGGGGGCAATAATGTTAGCAGGGGTGATCGAGATAGTTAAGTACACGTTCGAGATATCAGAAACCAGGGGGATGCGTGGAGCAGGAGCAGGTACTGCTCAAAAGAAGACTGGCTGCATTGTTTCGGAAAGAATTTCTACGAGGTTGGGTTGTGATGTCGATAGGGAGTGAGTTGTAGAGGGTGAGGGCACTGTTGATGGGGGAGTCTCGGTGCCTGTTCGTGTGTGCGTGTCCGATGGAGTAGGTCCTTGTCTGTCGAAGGGTGTATGGTTGGTGTTGACGTTGTGGTGCAAGATGTGGTTGTTGCAGGTGTGGTGGGGAGGTTTGGTGGTGGATGTCCCATGCTAGTAGGGCTTGTTTAACAAGGAGTCGTGAGCTAAGGGTGGGGAGCTTTGCGTGATGGAGGAGGGAGCTGTGGTGAACTGGTGCAAAGAGGGGAATCCGAAGGCAGATGCGTATAGCACGGCGTTGAATTCTCTCCAGTGTGTCCCGCTGTTGCTGTGTGGTGTTCGAGAGGGCAAGGCTGCCATATTCGAGAACGGGTCGGATGTAGGTTGTGTATATTAACAATAGGCTGGAAGCGTTCATTGTGCCACGTGTCTTGTGGAGTTGGTGTAGTAGTTTTTTGGCTTTGTTGGTGGTTTCTATGATGTGTTGGGTCCATCGCAAATCGTCTTGGAGTGTAACACCAAGGTGCCTATGTTGGTGGACCTGCTGCAGCCGAGTCGAGTGGAGCGTGATGTGGATGGTGTGTTGGGGTTGGAAGGAAAGGACGACGGTTTTCGTGGTGTTGACGAGGAGATGCCAATCCTTCAACCATCGTCCTGCTGCGTCCACGGCACGTTGGAGGAATGCAGCTGACAAATCCCTCGTGTAATGCGTCGCGATGAGTGCCGTGTCATCGGCGAACTGGCTGCATTTAGTGTGAGAGTTTGTACATGCTGGGGGGAGGTCGATCGTGTACACCAGGAAAAGAAGAGGCCCCAGGACAGAGCCCTGGGGTACTCCAGCTGGAACGGATTTCCATGATGACAAAGCGGAGCCAACCTTGACGCGTTGTCGGCGGCGAGTCAGGTAGCTTGTGAGCCAGGTAAGGGCAATGCCACGGACACCAAGGTGCTCGAGTTTGGCCAGGAGAACCATGACCTGCTGACCCGAAAATTAAGCACAACCCAGCCCATACACGTGCATACACGTACACACTCCGTACTTCCCTTCTCCAAGAGTTAATGGATGTGTTCTGGTCAATAATTATAAACTCCGTTCAGCTGTGGCTGAACAAAGGCAGACGTATTCCCAATAATCAAGATGAAAAGCTAAGAACAGTCATTATCCAGATGCAAGTGCATGGACCGTGCATCCAGTATTTGCAAGTGCTGTCTGAACAGCACCGTAGATGGGAACTGGGGTGAACTGTAGCGGGTGCTTGGCAGATTGATCGTGCTGCGTGCAAAGTTGAATTAATTCGGCGAGTTGTCCACATCAGGTATATGCCGATCAGTTCTGGGTCCCGCGTTGCTGGTACATGTAGTTGTAACCATGGTCTGAACTTGTCGGTTCCTGATTGGCGCTTGCTTCACACGTTTAAGAGTCACGGCTTCAGTTCAGTCCCGTATTCCCCTTTCAGCATCATGGTATGATGAATGTACGGGCACGCTAATCCGTGTCGACTGCACGACTAGACACAACTTGACTATTAGCGTTCACACCGGTGGCTGGCGTCGGGCGAAGCAATGCTCCGACGTCTTTTGTTGCTGTGCCGACGCCACTGCTCAATCTCTGCGTTGTCTCCAGCTGATTCTGTGCTTTCATGACGACTGTCTGGAGGGAGTCTACGTCGAGAGTGTTCAGCAGTGTGAGCACCGCAGATAGCACATGATTTTCCTGTACATACAATTGACATGAAAGAAAGCAGTGCTCAGGCTGACTTTCATGCCGTGGATTATCTCAGTACTCCTTGTCAGTTTTGTGCTAGATTCTGCACATCTGACTGTTCAAAATCTGGTTTAGTTGGTGGACTTCAGGCGCGTGCACCGGGTCAAAAAAAGGTGGTTTCCAACAAAATTCGACCGCCATTTTGCAATAAGCTACCTGCAGATTCAGCAGTATTACACGCATTACACCAGGGAGTCGTATATATAGGGTATAATTATACGACTACCTGCATTACACACTGAAAGAAAGCTTTAAAAGTTATGGCTGCCAGTCCCACCGAGCCATCAAAACAAATGTGGTACAAAGGCATTTCCCTGACACAGGATAAATGAATAGGCTAGCCGACGTTATACATTGCACAAGTAGTTCGAAGTAGTGAAGGAAGATTCAGACACTCTTGCTAGTAAGTGAGTCAAAGAAGCATATCAATCCATGTCACTGTCTGAGTCTGCAGTGGCACTATAGCCCTGGGAAGACACGCGCAACCGGAAATTGAGACAATTCGCTAAGATCCATGGTATTTTTGTTGTATTCATCGTAGAGCGCTCCTTTCCTTTGTAGCTGACCGCTATAGACATGTGCCTGACGTCAAACATGTCTATACATGTCTGGACTTCCGTCCAATAGAGGAAAATATTTATGACAAATAATAATAATGATTGCCACCCAAGTGCGGAAGTGAAAATTTGCAATGGGACGTAAAATACCTGTCGAGTGCCGTAACTCCACTATTCGACCTTGGATCTACTTCGGATGTGTTGGAGCCGACAGCTGAGAACTTTCTAATGAGAATAGACCTTTCGATTACTCAATTCCGTTCAGAGAAAGCCGAGTTACGAAATATTTGAGTGTTTGCAGAATGCAGAAGCAAAAAGGTGGTTTCCGGGCTCCAAGAAAACCACGCGGTGCACGCGCCTGGGTCACTTGATAGCATAACTTGTGTCCACGTTTTCCGTGTTACAATAAAAGAAAGAGACATGGTGCCATTCTATTGGTCGAGTGCTGCGTGCAGAAGAGATTCTGGTCTTTCCAGGTCACACCCACCTCTCCAGCTATGATATCTGCGTCGTCAAGGTGATGGACTTTGACCTAAGCGAACTGGCCTCTGTGCGAGAGATATTTGGGTACTGTGATGGTATCGGGAGAAAATCCCTGAAACCTCTGAATACTGAGCGTTTTGATCAGGCCCTTTGGAAAACTCGGCATGTCCTTCTGCTCCAGATAAACTCACCATGCATAGTGTTGCATACATGTATGGCAACCGACTACTGTTGCCGGCCAGTTCCAGACAGTAGAACAAGCTGTCCCTTGTTAATTAGGAAAAAATACTCTGGACACCCGTGCAATTGACACTCTGTCTATCTCGCTAACGCACAAGCAGTACCACGCTTCATGCTGTAAAACAGCTTGATTGCAGTGCCGTACACGCAGTACACATAGTACCTTTGATGACGCGATGGTGGCCTGTGAGCTAGCAGCCGCCACCGGCTGAGGCAGACGTCCGTCGGTTTGATTGCTGCCAGCGCCGAAGCCAGACGAGCTGAGCTGGGAATCGTTTAGCGCGGCGGACGATGCGTCTTCACGCTCCTCATCTTCAATAGCTGCAAGTAAAGCACAGGTGGGCAGACTGGGGCTTGTCAAGTTCTGAAAAAAAGTCTGAAATTAGCGGTGATCTAGGCTACACAGATCAGTGGTAACCATGGTAATCTACACGGACTCGTGGTAACCTAGCCTACACAGATCAGTGGTAACCATGGTGATCTATACGGACTCGTGGTAACCTAGGCTACAAAGGTCAAGTGCATCTCAGGTGAAGTGCACGCACGCATGCAGTTCATTTCTGGCAGTGGGCTGGAGGTGTGTGTGTGTGGGGGGGGGGGAGACTCTCTCAAGAATGGTTTCCAGCACATACTACACAACAGAACAGTCAATTCCAATGCATACTACACGACAGAGGAATCAGTTCATAGTGCATACATGTACTAAGTTATACGGCTGAGTAGTTTCCAGTGTTGCCACAGCCCTAGCCACAAACGCTTGATCAGTGGCGTACCGTCAATGACCTTACCCACGTTGTCCAGAAAGTGAAGCTGCGGCAACATCTGAATGGTTTTCAGCCGGTAGTCATCATCTTCGGCACAAGGGTTCTCGGACAGCCAGAGCACTCTCAGGCATAGAAGGGTGCGCAAGTGCTGGAGCTCGTCCAGTGACTGGACGTTGTTCTTCCGGACGTACAACTCCCTCAGCTTAGTGCCTGTGAAAGCAGCGACAGAAATGACATGGTCAGTAATTGGTAAGCATCCGATGAGCTCAATGGACAGATGTCACTGACTCGGGACGAGCCAGTTGCAGGGTGTTAGCATTTGTTAGTGTTGTTATCACTGTCTACGTGTCTACATCACATGGTGAAATACTAGCTACTTTACTAAGCATGCAATGCCCGCACTGCGGCGACAGCCAGCCGGCACTCTGGTGTAGTCGCAGCATGTAGCCCGTCTGCATTATACAGCACGTGTTCGGCGCAGCACTATGCATGCACATGGACACACTGTGCACTGTCTTCTTGCGGCCATCAGGAATGCCCTCTTCAACACCCTCTGCCGCACAGTTATTGTGGTGTTTGTAACCACAGACATTGTGAATCACCTGAGAGCCAGACTATTGTCGGTAATGCTAGACCTTATGGAAGTATCGAATGACCGCAC